GTATTGGGAGGCGCGCCGCCGCAGTACGCACAGTTTACGCTAAAACAGCGGCTGGAGAAGATTCTGCATCCAGAAGGACAGAGATAGAGGACAGTAAAAATGCTTGCTCATATACTATCATTTTGGAAATCACCACGATTTGCTTAATATGTGCCTATCACAAAGTGTCAGGAACCAGCAGTATCGTGTCTATGCAGAAACGGTAGTTTGCTGTATTTTAAATAAGCTAACGTATGTCCTGGTCTCTTTCATTCACAAAGCTGTATTAACATCAAAAAATAACTAATTTTTTGTACATGACATATCATCTTTTGTTGGTCTACGCAGGCGACACCTTGTTTTTCTTCCTAAAGGACTTTACGCGGTTGCCCAGCGACTTGTGCTTAATCAGCAGACACAGCAAAAAGGCAACGCCGACAAACGGCGCATTGGCCGCATAGGTGGCCTTCAGGGACTTTGCGTACGCCTCGCGAATCGCCACTTTCACGTCTTCCGGCAGCCCACTCTTCCACGCCAACGATCCATTATCCAGCGCTGAGCGCACAGTGTCTGCATGCATGGGAAACTCCAGGGCAATTTTGCCCAGATGCTTGACCAGCTGGTTGTTCAACACAGCGCCATTAATCGCAATACCGACGATCTGGCCGATGTTCCGCAAGAACAGTGCCAGGGTTGCCGCCATGCCGGCGTCCTTGGGCAGGCAGGTGGCCTGAATGGCAATCATCAATGGCATCAGACCCATGCCGGAGAACACGCCGAATGCGCCCATTAATACCAGCACTACAGCGATTGACGTCGACGAAGTTATCAGGCTGAACAGCCCCGAGACTATGGTCATGCCAGCCAAACCGGTCCAGATGAATGGGCGGTAGGTGTTGAACCGTGCAATGATCTGGCCCATGACCAGGCCGGTGGCCAGCATGCCTACCAGGTAGGGCAGGATGTAGACACCGGCGATTGTGCTGCTGGTGCCGCGCACCACTGTGAAATAGATGGGCATGTAGAAGGTGGTGAAGATTATGCCGATGCCCAGGAAGAACTGGGCCACCAGAATCGGCAGCGTGCTGTGGCTGGTGAACAAACGTAGGTGGATGATTGGCTCCTTGGCCACCCAGCGCTCAACACATACAAAGCCCACTAGGAGCAGCGGGCCGAGCACCAGTGTGGTGATGACTGCGGGCGATTTCCACGAATAGTCCTTCCCGCCCCAGTTCAGCCCCAGGATCAGCAGTACCAGGGCAGCCAGCAGCAACAGAGCTCCTGGCAGGTCCACGCGCTTAAGCTTGTCACGCACAGTGCCCTGGGCTGGCGCAGTGCGCACCGACAGAATTGAGACTACCAGAATTAGGGCGCAGATTGGAATGTTCAGATAGAAGCACCAGCGCCACAGCCAGTGGTCGGTGATTGCCCCGCCCATCAGTGGGCCGGCTGCCACCGCTGCGGTACTGGCCAGATTGGTGAAGCTCATGTAGATGCCGCGCTCGCGCAGCGGCAGAACGTCGATAATGATCACCTGCACCATCGTCACCAATCCGCAGCCACCCATTCCGGCCAGCGCCCGCCCGGCTATCAGCATCGTGACTGACGAGGCGGCGCCGCACACTGCCGAGCCCGCACAGAACACTAGCAGCGCTGCCACCAACACCGGCAGCCGGCCAAAGATCTCTGACACCTTGGACACGATTGGCTGCAGCGAGGTGAATGTCAAAATGTAGGCGGCCGAGATCCACGCTACCTGCGAGAGCCCGTCGAAGCTGTTGCTGATAGCCGGCAGCGCCGAGCCCAGGATGCTGGTGTCCAGGCCAGCCAGGAACGAGGCCAGCGAGAGTGACACCATGATGGCCACAAGGCGGGCCAGGGTTGGCTTGTGCGAGTCGTCTTCGACTGCCTCGGTGATGGTTGCTTTGAGACCCTTGGTGTCCACTTGGATATTATCAGTTATTGTTGACTGCGAGTCCTTGAATTCGACGGATTTTGCTGCCCGGACATAGCTGGGTTCTGCTGCAGTTGTGGTGGCCGAGGTATTGGGGATAGGCTCCGACATTGTGTAATAAATGGAACTGTAGAGGAGAGGTGAGGAGACGAAGATAAGAGCATTTAATGAAAAGTGAGCTCTGGTGGGCGCTGCACTGGCTTTTTGTATTAAATACACCGAGGGAGCATGGTCCTAGGATGGGCTTCACACAATAGGCAATTGGGCAATGCGGCAGGTTGGCAGTCTGCAGATTTCTCGGGTGAGGGAAGGGTCATTCCGCGCGTGATCTTATTTTGCATATAAGCGAACCGACCATTATGTCCCACTATTCAGACACATTACAATAGCCAAGATTGGCCAAGGGCTTTTGCATTCATAATTGCATTCACAATAGGCGAAAAGTGTAGAAAATAAAATCGATGTGCCCGTTTGGATGCAATAGAAGCCAAATAATCCTCACCGCTTTTTGCGGCCATGGGAGCTCTTTCGCTTCGCAATGCGGGTGGCCGCACCGCCATTGATTCTGTCGATCTGGCTCTGCGCAACATGCAAGACGCCGTCCCTGACCCTCCCGCCATCGAGCCTCGGACCACGCTCGCGCTTCCTCTGCTTCCCCTCCGAGGCCCTGCCCGTATGCAGGACCTCCAATTCGCGCTTCATTGAGTGATTCAGGATGCCGCGGTTCTTCGCGTCCTCGATGGACTTTTTGGCGCGCATTTTGCGGTTTTCGTCGACCATGAACCAGCGGTTGGCCGGCATCTTCTCTTTGGTCTTTTTCTTCATGCCCAGGCGCTCCAGCTTTTGCGCGTTGTATTTAAGCCGGTCCTTGCCGGACAGCTGCGATTCGTGCAGCTGCTCGATCATTACCTTGCCCTCCAACAGGGCCTTCAGCTCGCGGTCGTTGGCGCGGTCCTCGGCCTCTTGCTTCAGCTCCTTGGTGGATTTGGGGTTTGCCGCTGCGCTGGCGGAGGCGGTGAGCTTGGCGATCTTCGACGACATGAAGCTTTTGTACTCAAGCTTGCTGGCTGCTGGCTTGGGAGCCAGGCCACTGGCGTCGAAGACGACGACCTCAGGTGCCTTCTTCTTTTTGGGCGTTGTTGCTATCCTTGTCGGCGGCATTGCGGGCTGCTGTGAATTGAGACAAAGGTATTGAAGGGTGGGGGAGGAAGAAGAAAAAAAGTTCTTGATCTGGAAAAAAAATTACTATCCGCCTTGGGTCATTTCAAAGCAGTGGCGAGTTTCGTCATTTACAGTGACAAGCCTGCTTTCTGCTTGATAAAATTTTTTCCATACTCTTTTCTTATTTGGCACGAATGCAAGCACATTTGCTAGTACGCGGTCTCGGACACAGAGGCTTTGGTCTGCACACATACACCACCCGACTCCAGGCAGCACACAGGATGAATTTGGCTACTCGCAACTTGACGCACCGGCGCGGGTTCAGCTCGCAGAAGCCCAAGGAGACCAAGGCAGCCGATAAAGACGATGTGCCGCCGACATCCAACAAGCGCTCGCTGACATTTGCCATCGGCGGTGTGCTGACGCTTCTGGGCGTGGCTAGCTACACGTTCAGTCTGCGGCAATCGGAGCCTAGCACAGCTGTGTCAGCCCCCTCCGTGACTCTGCCACCGCAAGCCACAGAAACCTTGCAGTCGGTGGAGCGGAAGCGGGAGGCAGCTCGTCAGGAGCTGGACAAGCTGACGCGGGCAGAGCGGCGCGAGGCGGCGCGCAAGCTGGGGCTACTGACAGAGGAGGAGGTGGATGCAATCCTGCATGCGCAAGAGAAATCGTGGTGCGCTGGCGGGAAGGGCCAGCGTGTGCGTGTGGATACGAACCAGGTGGCATCGAATAGTCCGATTGAGGACTACTTGGCGTGGTCGGAGCTGGGCCCCGACCGCCTGATGTTTGGCGTCTTCGATGGCCACGCTGGGTACATGTGCGCTGAGCAGCTTGCGCAGCGCCTGGCGCCGATGCTGAACCGGTCGATAGCACTGGCGGCGGCGGAGTCGGACGATCAGGATGTCTCGGCGCTGGCCAGCACCGTGCGGCAGCTGCAGAAGGAGGCTGGGCGCGGCTGGGACCACACGGCGCTGGCGCTGACGGCGACCTTCATTAATATGGACCGGGAGCTGGTGCAGGATGCGCTGGCCGAGTTCCGCCGGTCGCAGGATTTGGCGCGCATCGACGCACTTCTAGGCCCGGCCGTGTCGGGCAGCTGTGGGCTGGTGGCCGTGGTGGACTCCAATGAGGTGGTGGTGGCCAATACTGGCGACAGCCGCGCACTGCTGGGCGTGCGTCTGGCCGACGGGCGGTGGCGGGCGGTGCGGCTGAGCGAGGACCAGACCGCCGACAATGCGCAGGAGCGGGCGCGGCTGTCGCGCGAGCACCCCGGGGAAGTGGTTTTGCAGAAGAACCGCGTGCTGGGCGGTCTGATGCCGACACGCGCGTTTGGCGACTCGCGGTACAAATGGGCATTGGAGACGCAGCAGGATTTGTTCCCGGTTCTGCATGCCCGCGGCCACCGCTATGCGACCACGCCGCCGGGCCTGACCACGCCCCCATATGTGACTGCGCGGCCGGTTATTGTGCGTCATAAGCTGGCGGAGACGGACCGTTTCATCGTCATTGCTTCGGATGGGCTGTATGACCAGCTGTCGGACGCTGAGGTCGTCGAGACCGTGGCCCAGTGGTATGAGGGGAAGAGCGCTCCAGACGACAACGCTGCTACGCATTTGATACGCACGGCTCTGTCGACCGACCGTCTGGGCCGTCGCGGCGACCATGTGATTCGCCGCCTGCTGGCCATTCCCCCGCCGCACTCGCGTCGCTTCCGCGACGACATTTCCGTTACCGTCGTGTCATTGAACCGCGACGAGTGATCTCCCCCTAGTCCGGGACCGGGAAATCTGAAACTGTGGGAAACTCAGGCCCTCATAAAAAAGATTTGTCATCGACTTTCTCTTTTCTCCTGGTTTCTTCATTTTATTCTATTTTTCCACTTCAATACTCTAATACCAGTACAATTATGTTTGATCGTCTGAAGGGTAAGACCGTCATGGTCACTGGCGCCAGCTCGGGCATTGGCGCCAGCTGCGCGCGCCTATTCGCCGAAGTCGGTTCGAACCTGATTCTGACTGCGCGTCGCACCGACCGTCTGGCTGCTTTGGCCGCAGAGATCCGCTCCAAGTACCCGCAAGTGCAAGTGTATACTGCCGAACTAGACGTGCGCAACCGTGCGGACGTCGACCGGGTTGTGTCTGAGCTCCCTGCAGAATTCTCTGCAATCGATGTGCTGGTGAACAACGCAGGATTGGCGCTGGGTACGGACCCGGTGGTCTCCGGTGACTGACGAGTCGATCGATACTGTCCTGGATACGAACGTCAAGGGTCTATTGTATGTAACGCGGGCGGTGGTGCGCGGGATGCGGGCGCGCGGCTCCGGCCATGTCATTATGATGGGGTCGATTGCCGGCCTGACTGCCTACCCGACCGGCAGCATTTACTGTGCATCCAAGTATGCTGTGCATGCGATTGCGCAGTCCTTGCGTGCCGAGACCCTGGATGTGCCGATCAAGGTCACTGAGATTAATCCGGGCATGGTGGAGACCGAGTTCTCGATTATCAGGAAAACTATGGCGATAAAGAGAAGGCTGACAAATGTCTACCGCCGGCATTGAGCCGATGGACCGGGGATGATGTGGGCCGAGGCCGTTGTGTTTGCGGCGTCGAGGCATCAGCGTTGCGTCGTGTCGGATGTCGTTCTGCTTGCTACTGGACAGTACTCGCCGACTGTTGCCCACCGCAAGGAGTAGAATGTCTTATTCGGATCTTAGAGTATACTAGAATTACCCCGCTCGCGATGCAAGCTCGGCTGCTAGTCAGCATGGGTTGACACGTAGATAAGAGTATCACGGCGAACCGGTCATTTGAACGTGTCGGATGGTTGTTGGTGCAATGTCGATCATGGACATCTCCCACCTTGGTGGCCTGCTCAGCGCAGACGCTTCAGCGCTGGCTCGCTGCTGCTGGCAACAGAATCGCCTGCTGCTGCTGCACGCCTCTTGCGCGGCCTCTTTGTTGCAGGGGTGGTGCCAGAAGCATTGGCAGCAATGGCCGTAGAGCGACAGAACCGTTCAGGAATACTGCCTGAATCACAGAGTGACTGGAAAATGAGCCTGAAGTTTAGAACTGCTGCGAGATCGCGGTTCAAGAGCCGAGACGAATAGGCCGCCTGTATTGTGCCATGGCCCGCTTACATGACTCGCTTGTACAGCGGAGAAGGCCATGGCACTTCACAGCTGGGTTCTTCGATCTCTGGTAGGGCCGCGGGTTGGGAACATGCCGGAATGTCTGCTGCAGTAGCTCTGTTTAATCGATGGCATCTTCGCTGCTTCGTGTGCAGCCTTCTTGGCCAATTTTTCGCCTTTTCTGCTGCTTTCCTTGCCTCTGTTGCTGCCCTCTTTGCTGCTTGATCTCTGTAACCTGCTCGCGTATTTTTCGAAATAAACACCTGCTTGATTATTGCTTGTCTAAGCGCACATGGCCTGGGATCCATGATGTCCGCAGAGGCAAGCATTGGGGGGAGACTTGCCAAGCTGCTCATTCTCGATAAGCTGGCATAGGCGAATATATGCACGCAGATGCTTAAGTGGATTTACCTTGGCATCATAGGCATTAAGGACTGGTGCCAGCTTGTTGTAGATTGCAAGCATCGGCGGTGGGTGAGCACACTGAGATCAGGGTGCCTAGAGGCAACTGCCTGGCGGAGCTTCTGTGCAGGCGTATAAATATACACTTGACATGCGTTATTGAACTCAGCCTTGGACACATTGCCCATTGTACTGTGTGTGTGTTTTGCGGCTGCGAATATCAATCAATTTGGCCAGAATCCGCTGTAGGCAAGTGCCACAGTGCAACACAATGTTGTTCTTGTATGCTGTCATCAGCTCGGTATCCACGTATGTTGCTACTTGATTCATTTCGCGCACGCCATGTAGCTCGATATCGCCATTATGCAATAGATATTCATAAATATGGTATCTAACTACATCACCGAAATCTGCACTCGACAGTTCTGACCTGTCCTTCCGGTTGACGAAATCCTCGGCAGATATGACAGTCTTCGCCTTCAGGTTGCGATAAATGAATAAATAAATTGAACGAAAGAATCCCTTTTTCACAAATGTTGCAGGGTCAAAAGCATCATCGTCAGCTAGTTGATGGAGTAATATTAATATGCGAAAATATAGTGGTATACAAGAATATATTTACTGGAAAACGTCCGGGGTTGTGAGCCAGGGACCGGAGACGAGTGGGCTACTTGGCCTTATTTATAGACCCACCTGGTGGCTGTGCTGCGACTCGCTTACTACCAGTACGACCTTTTCGGGTAGCATATGTACAGTGGATGTCGAAGCTGCTTCCCACGGCACATGTGTTTCTGTTTCGTAGACAAGATGTGCATTGTCCGAATGCAGATAAGTCTAGGATAATGGTAGATTTGATATTTATACATTTATTGATATCCTAAGCACAAAATCGTAGTGGTGCAGAGTGTTGATCAAGAGTGTTCTACCATAGTTGCATGGCTATTTTTGGCACAATGTGCAAAAATGAGAATCAAAACATCCGCGAAAAATCCACCATGGTTGGAGCAACAAGAGGGCTTTGCCTATATGCTCCTTGGTTCCACTATTTTCCTTATAACGCACTGTTTATTTTAACTATGGCCAAGAGCACGCTTACTCTTGATCACCGACTGGTGGCACGATACTTGACCGGATTCTTGGCTACCTTGTAGGCGACCTTCGGCTTTATTCCGACAGACCCTCGCCATATTCTGATTTCTATATGCTGTACGAAGATCACCAGACGGCTATTCGATACGCTCTTGTCTCTCGCCAATGGATGGAATACTTGGTGCCTTACATTCTACGCACAATCTACATCGTTACTCGTCTTTCTGATGAACCGCCTGCAGGCAAATTTAATCTCGTACACAGAGTGTTTCGTTTGCAAAAGCCTCGTAGACGTTGGATGTCTAACATAAGGGCCGTTGTTGGCATGGGTGGAGTTCGGCATGTGAAGCAACTATACATATACAACGGCGACGACGAGCTCTCTTCCTACTCTCAACACTCTTTTAGATGGAAATGGGTTTGGCGAAACATCATGGCCATCACTCAAAGAAGTCGTCTTTCATGGAGACCACACCTTTCACACAGAGCTGGGAGAGAAAGAGCACGCCAATCTGATACATTCCTACCTATCGGGTTAGCACCATCTCTTGCCACCATCTATGGAATATCTAACCCGGTTTTAAACGCGGTTGACAATAGGCTTTCCAACAAACGGCTATATCTGAACACAGAAACACACCGTCACTTGACCTCCACATATTTTCCACACCTGATAACACTGGATTTAGACGACACATATGGCATGCGCAACTATCACCTATTAACATTCTTTGCACCAACACTCAAAAACCTCACACTTCGTATCTGCTTGGGGTCGCTATTTACTTGGCAGCAGTTCC